GGCCCAGGCTGCCAAAACAACCCGCCACCTTAGGTGTATGTGACTAGCGCCTTAGCCACTTGAGCCACAGGTGCTGAGCTGCCACCATGACCTTCTTCCTTTCCTAGGACATCCCAAGCTGGTTCCCACCTCAGACTTGGCACATGCTGTTCCCCCAGCCTGGATCTCTTTCCTTCTCTCTCTCTGTTTAGATCCTTGTTGAAATCAACTCATTGGAGATTACTCGATCTACTCAGCCCTCCTCAACGTGCTACAACCCCTAACCCAGACTTCTTTCCCCCACGTGGTGTTTGCCATTCCCTAAAGAGCACTAAGCTTCTTGGAAGTAGAGGGAGGGTGTCTGTTTTTTCACTGCTTTGTCCTCAGCCCCTAGAATGGTATCTGGTACAAATTAGGCACTAGGAAATTGTTGGCTGATTGAATAAATATTGAGATGTGAAATGAAATATACTTCTCCAGAAATAGTGATGGGTCTTGCCTCATTCCTCTTGAGCCCAGTAGCCATGCCCTTGAGTGATGACTTACAAACTTAGTTTCCCACAGCAACCCTGGTTGGTTGCTATAGAGTGATCTTCAGAATGGAAGAAGATAATAAGGTACATATACAATAGGAATAGAAGGCATTCTACTCTTTTCCTTTGCACACCTATAGAGAGGAATAAACACTCATTTATTCTTCATTCCACAAATATTTATGGGTGCCTACTTTATGTCAGGAACTGTTGTGTCCCTTTGTCAGTACAGCGATGGATAAAATCCCTGCCTCTGAAAGCTTAGATTTTATGGGGTAGAGCCAGATAAATAAGCTAAAAAAATAGAAATGTCAGACAGTGATAAGGGCTAGGTGCTATGGGGAAACACAAAGCAGTGGGTGGGGGATAGGAGGTGCTGGGCAGGGGGCTGTCTGCCCATGGAGCTGTATGGGGATTAGTATTCAGGGCATGTGGGGTGACCCAGAGCTCCGGGCTTCTTGATCTAGCCAGTGTAAACAGGGTAAGGGACAGAATGAGATTAGTCCTGATGGTCTAACCTGGTGGTGATCTAGACTGGTGGGAAGGCCAGGAGTGCTGTGGGGGGAGGTTAGAGATTTTGCTAAGAGCACTCGGAGTTCTGGGGGCTCCTATTGCTTCCATCAACAGTGATGTGAACAGTGGGCAAGGAGTTTTCTTAGCCAGAGCTAAGGTCCCTCTCTAGTCTTTCACGAGGAGATGTGGAAGCCAAAGGGGCAGTGTTACTTAAACACACAGCCTTAGAAACAGGAGATTTGCGTTCAAGTGCTGCCTCTGCCATCCACTAGCCTCGTGCCTTTTGTCATTTAGTGTTTCTAAATCTTAGTTTCTGTATCTGAAAAACAGTGCTGTGCCCTCCAGGGTTATTTTGAAAACTACGAAATGTATTATAAGCTATACAACAAATACTTTTTATTTTTTATTTTTCAGATAATGCCATCTTTGGATAAAGTGCATCTCCAGCAGCACACAGAAATACATTCTCTTTGAACCATCTCAAATGTCTGTCGAAATTATTTTCAGATATTAACTATAAAAGAAGCTAAACAAACTAATTCACTAGTTCTGCCAAAAACCATTATATTAAGTCATGTAAAACTTATTCTACCTTCATTCATTCCATCTTTCTTTTTTCTTTTTGATGCATAGTCTTGCTCTGTTGCCCTGGCCGGAGTGTAGAGTGGTGTGATCATAGCAATCTCAAACTCCTGGGCTCAAGAGATTCTTTTGCCTCAGCCTCCCTAGTAGCTGGGACCACAGGCACACGCCACCATGTTGGGCTAATTTTTCCATTTTCAGTAGAGACAGGTCTTGCTCTTGTTCAGGCTAGCCTCAAACTCCTGACCTCTTCCCACCTTGCCTCTCAGAGTGATCGAGTTACAGCAGCGAGCCCCCAGGTGCAGCCCCATTTATCCTCGTACAGACTTAGACATTTTGAAAAGAGGATTTGAGTCATTTAAGATGAATGACCTAAAAGTTTACTTTATACTGATCTTCTCTTTACTAATCTAAAATGTTTCAATAGTTGTTTATATTTGTTCACATAAATCAGCAGAATATGTTGACCAAATTCACTGGGGAGGGTGAAGGCTAGAGTTGCTCAAAGTTAACACTTGCTTCTAAATGCTTAATTAGATTAATGTATTCCATTAGTACTACGATTTTGATAGTTTCTATAAACACATATTTTATTTATTTATTTGAGACAAAGTCTCACTATGTTGCCCTTGGTAGAGTGCTGTGGTGTCACCGCTCACAGCAACCTCCAACTCTTGGCTTAAGTGATTCTCTTGCCTCAGTCTCCCAAGTAGCTAGGACGACAGGTGCCTGCCACAATGCCCAGCTATTTTGTTGTTGTTGTTGCAGTTGTCATTGTTGATTTTAGTTGGCCCAGGCCAGGTTCAAACCCACCAGCCTTGGTGTATGTGGCCAGCACCCTAACCACTGTGCTACGGGTGCCACCTAAACACATATTTTAAAGTATAAGATATTACAGAAAAGCCTAGAAATAGAACATTCTGTTATATTCATTCCCCACCACCAATGTGAGCCTTGCTAGAATCATCTTGTGGCCACATGCTATTTGGTTATTACCACCTCTGTCTCATTGCTCCTTAGATAGCAGGCTTCCAATTTTAACTCAGTTTATGTTTCCTGTTTTAATTAAGAGCCTACTCCACATGGCAAGCAGAACACTGCCTGGCACGGAACTCAGCACTTCTTGGGCTTTGTCTTTACATCAATAAAATGTTCACCTTTTGCTTGATTGCTCTGTGACTCCATAGAAAGCGCAGATTCATAGAAAGAGCAAAGCATTGTTTCTCTCCTTTTCTGAAATAGAGTCTCACTCTGTTGCTTAGGCTAGAGTGCTGCGGTGTCAGCCTAGCTCATAGCAACCTGAAACTCCTGGGTTTAGATGATTCTCCTGCCTCAGCCTCCCACGTAGCTGGAACTGCAGGTGTCACCACAATGCACGGCTAACATATATGTTTTTTGTATTTTTAGTAGAGATGGGAGTCTTGCTCTTGCTAAGGCTGGTCTTGAACTCCTGAGGTCAAGGGATGTGCATATCTCTGCCTTCTAGAATGCTAGGGTTACAGGCATGAGCCACCAAGCGAGCCTGAAAGCCTAAAGCATTCTGATATTAGAAGGGATATAGATAAGTCCATTGGCCTAAAACCCTACTTCAGCTAGGACTGTAGTAGGGCACAGTGTGGGTAAGATTCATCAACTATGAGGACATGTAAAAGCAGCCAGAACTAAAGCTAGTTTTTTACTTCTCAAAAGGCAAATACAGGTGATAGTGGGGTACACTTCCCTAGCTACTGGGGAAGCTGAGGCAGGAGGATCACTTGAGCCCAGGAGTTTGAATTTGCAGTGAGCTGTGATGATGCCACTACACTCTAGCCTATGTAACAGAGAAAGACCCTGTCTCTACTAAAAAAACAACAACAACAACAAAAACCAAACTAGCAAAAATACTGTGAAGGGTTATCCTGGGTGCTGACAGAAGCCATGAGAGGTTCAGAGGCAAAGGACTTTATTATTCAGAGCACAGCAAGAAGCACAAGCCTGATGCTCAGGTTGGGTCCTCTTGCCCTTCCCCACCCCTCTGGATCCATGGAGAATGAAGCTGTCTAGGCAGATGCCACACGTATGTAGCTGAGGAACCCTGAGCTTAAGAAACCCATGCTTTGCCCAGAGGGAGACATTATCTGTATTATACTGGATGGTAAGCAGACCAGCCCTCTGCTCCAGGGGGAGATACTTACTATCTGTACCTTCTAAACAGGTAGACCGGGAGAAAGGCCTTCAGTGCCTCTGCTCCCTAGATGTGCAGAAACATGAGAGCCCTGTGGAGAATTATCTGTTAACATTTAGCAGCTCAGATAAAAGCTATCAAATACAGTATTACTTCTTTAGCTCAGGCTGAGTCACAGGAGACAAACACATAGTAAATGACCGTCAGGTTATGTACATAGAGTTAACAGCCTCCCTAACCGGACTCCTCTCTGACTCTGACCCACTTCCTCTCCCATGCACCGCTGAGTTCAGGAACTACTTAGGGCTCACTGACCTTGTCTTACTGAGACCTCCCCTTCACCTAACTCCAATTTGTGCAGGGAAAGTTTTCCTTAACCCTTTTCCCCCCCGGTTAGGCATTTCTATTATTTGTCCTTCTCTATACATCCTACAACATCCCTCAGCTAAAACCAGAAACTCAAGCGTCACAAGACAGTATGTATTTTGGACTCTGACCCAAACTAAAATGGCGGGAAGTCCAGCCAGGCTCTCTACCCTCTCCCAGGAGTGTTTCATGTCCGATGGAGCATGCTGCCCTCTGCAACCTGAGAGGATATTTTCCTCCTTTTCTGCCCTGGCTTCCTGCAGAGTTCAAAGGTATCTCTTGGCAGGATTTCTTCTTGTTAGGGGAGGTCAGTTTTTTCTCTTAAGGCCTTCAGCTGATTGAATGAAGCCCACCTACTTTATGCAGGGTAATCTGCTTCATGGTCCACCGATTTAATGTTAATTTAAAACATACCTTATAGGCTGGGTGCAGTGGCTCACAGCTGTAATCCTAGCACTCTGGGAGGCCAAGGCTGATGGATTGCTTGAGCTCAGTTCAAGACCAGCCTGAGTATGAATGAGACCCCATCCCTAAAATATAGCCGGGTGCCAGCTACTTGAGAGGCTGAGGCAAGAGGATCACTTCAGCCTAGGAATTTGAGGTTGCTGTGAGCTATGACATCACAGCACTCTACTGGGGGCAAGAAGGCAAGACTCTGTCTCAAAAAAAAAAAAAATATATATATATATACCTTATAGAAACATCTACAATAACATTTATCCAAATGTCTGAGTAACTGTGGACTAGCTAAGTTGCCATACAAAATTAACTCTCATAGAAGCAATCCTCCGAGATAACCCTTTACCTCCATGGTCCCAAACTGGCCAAGGGCCAGTCTTGTCTGTGGCCTGTTAGCAATGGTGCTGCACAGCAGGAGGTGAGTGGTGGCTGAGTGGGCTGAGTGAAGCTTCATCTGTGACTGTCTCCCATCACCCCCAGATGGGACCATGTAGTTGCAGGAAAACAAGCTCAGGGCTCCCATGGATTCTGCATTATGGTGAGTTGTATAATTATTTCATCATGTATTACAATGTAATAACAATAGAAATCAAGTACACAGGAAATGTAATGTACTTGAATCATCTGAAAACCAGCTCTCCCATCAGCCGCTGGTCCATGGAAAACTTGCCTTCCATGAATCTGGTTGCTGGTGCCAAAAAGGTTGGAGGCTGCTGCTTTACCTTACTGGTATTCTCTGCCATTTGGGGGACCCAGGACCACTTTCTGGCATTACACATGTCCTTTAGAACTGGAGAGGAGTAGAGGGGTTCTTGCCTAAAATGAATTATTCTCTGCTCTTGCAAATGTCTTAGGAAATCTATAGGGAAGCTTCATAAGCTTCAGGAGAAACTCAGTAAAGAGCAAGGCTAACTGATATTCTTTTTTTTTTTTTTTTTGAGATAGAGCCTCAAGCTGTCCCCCTGGGTAGAGTGCTGTGGCATCACACAGCTCACAGCAACCTCCAACTCCTGGGCTCAAGTGAGTCTCCTGCCTCCGCCTCCCAAGTAGCTGGGACCGCAGGCACCCGCCACAATGCCCGGCTATTTTTTGGTTGCAACCATCATTGTTGTTTGGCGGGCCCAGGTTGGATTCTAACCCGCCACCTTAGGTGTATGTGGCTGGCGCCTTAGCCACTTGAGCCACAGGCGCCGAGCCGCTGACTGGCATTCTTGAGGAATTGTAAGAAATTTGCTATCTATTTCATTAAGAAGTTTAGGTATTTCAATCATAGTTTTTAGACTCCTTAACATATATTAAGTATAAATAGGCTAGGTGCAGTGGCTCACACTTGTTATCCTAGCACTCTGGGAGCCTGAGGCAGACGGATCACTTGATCAGGAATTCCAGACCAGCCTGAGCAAGAGGGAGATCCCGTCTCTCTAAAAATAGAAAAACTAGCCAGGCATTAAAGCAGGAGCCTGTAGTCCCAGGTAGTCAGGAGGCAGAGGCAAGATCACTTGAGCCCAAGAGTTTGATGTTGCTGTGAGCTAGTCTGACACTATGACACTCTTTTCTTTCTATCCAGGGCAACAGAGTGAAACTGTCTCAAAAAAAAAAAAAAAAAAGTTTCCAGTAGGCCCAAGGTAAGAACGTCAGAGGAAGCAGTTTCAAATGGTATTTGCATGCAGAGCCCCTTTGTAGGAAGCTACAGATTTCATAAGTCCCCTGTTGAAATGTGCTTCCCCTGATTATACATGCGCCCCAGTCCAGTAATTTCTGCTGGATGACAGTATTGCATTGACAAGTTTTGTTGTTATGGTGAGTGATGGTGGTAGTAATGAGACACACGCCAAATACAGAAAAGAAACTTGAGAAATAGGGTCAATGGAGATTTCTTGTGGATTTTGAGCATTAGGGAGAATTTCACCCAGG